AGGGTAAAGAGAAAAAAAAAGTAGAGAAAGTCAATCATAGGGAAATGGGAAAAGGAGAACTTGAGGGAGATGTAATGGATAGATGGGGGCATTTGGATATAAAATGAGTTAGAGATGAGAGAGATCAGAGGGATGGGAAGGAGTGAGAGAGGAGATTCAGAGAGACAAGGAGGAAATACAAACAACAAGAAAAGTAACATAAACTCTCATAGAGGAGAGAGAGAAAGATAGAAAAATAGGAGATGAAGGAAGTGGGAATGAGGAGAGGAGCTCCTCCCCCAATGCAGCGCTGAAAGTGTTTCCAAGGAAGGGAGGCTAGGGTTCAAGTTACTTTGACATACTTAGTATTTGAATTATGTCAATGTTTGATAAGAATTTGTGGCCTCACACACCTCGCTTCTCAAATCTCGCCTCTCATATCCGACCTTTCCTAAAGTGGCCTTTTCCGTGTGGTCTTTCTCATGTCACCCTAACATTAATGGAATTCTCAACCAAGTTAGAAGCTCTGAGTGCACGATGTCTCACCACAGGTCGAATCATACACTCAAAAGTCCAAACCCAACTCAAGAAGCTAACTTCAGAAGTTCCGGCAGGAGTCTTCTTGCAAGTGGTAGAATTCAAAGATGGGAAGACTTGTAGCCAACCTACAAGGAGTTATTGCATCTCAAATCAAGAAAAGAGTTTCACAATCCCAATTCCACTTTATTGACCCATATGGGTTGGTGGTGGTTGGGAAATTCTCATTAAGTGCCTAGAACTCCAGAAGACATTAATCTTGGAAGGACTTTCAAGGAAAAACCAGTTGATGCCATTTAATGGCCAAACCCACGAGCTGAAGAAAGCTTTATAAATAGCTCCTCAGAAAAGGAAAGGGCCTTGGACTCAACACACAAAACCTATCTTTTTATCGTGCACCTTTCAATTCCTAGTCTAGAATTTTATCTTTCAAGCACTTTAGATTATCCAAGTTCTTCATTTTCCTATTGTAAGCTTACTTTCTTGCAATTTACTTTCAGTTGTCTTTAAATTCAATTTTTATTCAAGTTTTTATCACTTTAATCTATTCTATTGCATTTACATTACTGTCATTCTGTTCTTGCATTTACATTCATTGCACTTATCACCAAAATCCTAAAAATAGTCATACAAAACTCGATCATCCTTGACCTTGAGGAAGTGAAAGAGCTTAAGTCAAGAAAAAGTTCCTTGCTTGGCAGATCAATCATTTGATTAGAAGTCAAAAATGCAAACATATTCACACAATCTTTCCATCCAAACCATCAAGAGGCTTAGTGGTGGCACGCTTACGCATCTCAAGAGAAGAATTACCAAATAAAGGGAAACACCAATCTATTAGTCATCGGTTTCCTGTCATAAGCAACTAAGCAAATTTTATATGTTATTAACATATATCAAAGAGAATTTCTAACAACAAATTAAATCAAGTTAAGAGAAATTTATAACAAAGAAGACGGAGACGTATTGGGTGAATGAGTTAGCAGTTTTTGTTTTTAACATTATAGGTATGATATCAAAGAGTAAGATGCAGACAAAATAAAACATGAACGATTTGGTTCAGTTAGGTCTAAAATTACACTTGTTAAGCATAGAAACCAAACTAAATAGCACGAATTAGTTTGATTTGATTTGAAATTTGATCGGGTTTGAGCATTCAATCCTATAATATGCATAAGTAGAGAAATATTCATTTCGATATAATTAAATTAGCATAGGTTTATGCCACAGGAAGATTCCCGTGACTCGTTAAAATGATTCCCATCTCAACCATCCGCGTCTTTGGTTCTAATATAATATGTAATATAAAATTCGACCCCAAAAAAAAAGTAATATAAAACTGTTTAAGATATGCATGAAACCAGTAATTACTTATTATAGTAATGCAGGTCGCCTAGCCCAAACAAAAATTCAAGTTCCTATATTATATATGGGCCAGCCACCCATTTGTTTGTTTATGCTGATGTGGCCTGGCTCATATTTCCATATGCCTCATCCTATAAAAATTAAGTAAAATTAGATTTTAGTTAAAAAAAAATTTCACTTTTGGAAAACGCCAAAGCTTTTTGAAAAAAGACAGAAAAACCTCTCAACTTTCAAATCAAAGACATGCAAATGTAAAGGATTCCTTAGGAAATCCAAAATTAAATAAATGTAATTTTGTCTATTTTTGCTTATTTTACAAAATTTCTCTCTCTTTTGTATTTTTTCAAAGTCTCCCTAAAAATTAAGGACTACCTTAATCTGTTGACCACTCCCTTAATACTGACTTTGATGACCATATAACATCTTCTAATCAGAAAGTGCCATGATTATGTGGATTAGGCTAGTTGGTTAAAGATATGAACTCGTCCCTTTGTATTTAAGTTTATATCATATTTCCGTATATTAAATTAATTTAAAATAATTTTGATTATTGCTTGTATTATTTATTTTAAAAAAAATGTCATGATTCAATTGTAGGTGGTCGGTGGCTTTGTCTGGTCTCTCTCTCATGGTTGCGTTTTAGAATTGATAAATATTTAACTTTTAAGGTTATGGGTCCTCACCCTCCCCATTTCCAAACAAAACCAATTATCACTCTTCGTTGATCTCTCTCTCTCTCTCTCTCTCTCTCTCTCTGAGCTATGGCATTCTCCTCAGTACTCTCTGCAGTCACAAGAAGGTTAGCAGAACATGCTTAATTAATCAAGTTTTATAGTTATCTGTTCGTGCTTATATTTGTGTATCTTTTCTTGGTAAACATATCATATGTTACATATGTGATAGTTTGTGTATTTTGCTGGTCAGAGTTTGTGTATTTTGCAAACTTATCCACAACCAAATTGGCTTCACCATTAATAAGAGTTTCATGGGTGATTATTCTTTCATTTGTCCAGTCTATAGATTTGATGTTTAGACTCGACAGGCCAGTATTGGGCTCTATTTTGCTTGGGAAGCCATAGGTCAGTGCCTTAGGCTTCTTACAAGGCATGAATAACATTAACATGATTAATTATGTTAGACATTCCTTCGGAATCATTCTATAAAATTGGAACGATACAGAGAAGATTTTGTTTTTTTGTTTTGGTTTTGTTGTTGTAATCGATCCGAGTTCACTAAAATCCCCAAAAATGGAAGGAAACAAACAACTCTTACAAGCACACAAGGACAAAGAAGATTAGACTAAAACCAACACAGTGTACTGGTACGTAGTAAAACAATCTTCCCCGTCACAAAATCAAAACAAATACAACATAAAGCCATCATCACCACCAAGAAGACGAAGACCGCACCATCAAGGCCACAAAAGAGTGAATACACACCCACCACACGGGACAACACTACTACACATAGAGACCAACCGATCATCCGCCAAGAAGAGAAGCTCCCCAATAACCAAAAACACCTCAGCACCAAAGCAATCCTCCAAAAGTCACAATCTGCGAGACACCAAAATCCGTCATCTCATAGAAGATTAACATGGCCCGTATGCAAGAATGACACACATAGATCAAGATTATGTTAGATTGGACCAACAATGTATATATGAGCTTATATATTTAAATTGGTCAAAGGAAACAATAATGGTAAAGAAACAACCAATTTCATATCACATTAGTGAAGTTGAAATTAATTATATGATAGTTGACGTGTAAATTACTAATTGATTATAATAATTATTGTAAATGAGTCCGATTTGATATATAATGTGGTTCGCTAATATGATCTAAAAATATGGTACCTCTAAAATCAGCGGGAAAGAAAAATAATTGGATTATGAAGTATTTTTCCCATAAAGAAATCACTTTTTTAAAATGTGTTTGTTCTTTTTTGCAACTGAATGTAGGCTGGAGGGAAAGGTGGCTCTGATAACTGGAGGAGCAAGTGGCATTGGAGAATGTACAGCGAAAATCTTTGCCCAGCATGGGGCCAAAATCGTCATTGCAGATGTCCAAGATGATCTGGGCCATTCAGTCCGGGAATCCATAGGCCCAACAGACTGCACATTCGTCCACTGTGATGTGACAGACGAAGCCCAAATAAAAAATGCAGTACACAAAGCTGTTGCTACATATGGGAAGCTAGACATCATGTTCAACAATGCAGGCATAGTTGATGACAACAAGGCACGCATAATCGACAATGAAAAGGCTGATTTCGAGCGCGTACTAAGCGTCAACGTCACCGGAGTTTTCCTCGGGATAAAGCATGCTGCGCAGGCCATGATCCCAGCACGAGCGGGCAGCATTATTTCAACTGCTAGCATAAGTTCATATGTTGGTGGTGCAGCCTCACATGCCTATTGTTGCTCAAAGCATGCCGTGAATGGCCTGACTAAAAATGCAGCTGTTGAGCTAGGCCAGTTCGGGATCAGAGTGAACTGCTTGTCGCCCTATGCGCTCGTGACGCCTTTGGCTAGGAAATTTGTTGGGCTTGAGGATGAGGAGATGGAGAATGCGATGAGCGCATTGGCTAACTTGAAGGGTGTGACACTTAAGGCAGTAGATGTGGCAAATGCAGCTCTTTATTTGGCAAGTGATGAAGCTAGGTACATAAGCGGGCATAATCTTTTAATAGATGGGGCTTTCAGTATAGTTAATCCTTGCTTCAACATGTTTCAATACCCACCAGAGCCTTGATCTGCTTGGCTGCTGCAGACTTTTTTACATGTTTGAGCTTGAGTTCAACTTTAATTTGTCACAAGTTCATCCTAATAATGGACCAAGTTTTCGGCCATCTAGCAAGAAAAAATTCAATTCCACACTCATTCATTCTTCTTCAATGGATCAAGAGTGTCCAGAGAGAGATTGCGCCACGCCTTCTGTACAACGAAAAGATTTTACAAAAATTATTATAATTTTCATCGGTATCGATGCTAAGCTCAATTTAGCATTCACATTACACCAAATAAGACTAACTTAACCCTGCAGGATGGCTGTTCCTCATACAGGAGGAATCAAGTCTGAGTTTTCTTGCTCAGCCCACTTGTTTAATTTGTTGCATGCACTAAAAATATTCGATCCACAAACAGACAGCCTCAGAACATATTTAAGTAAAAAGGCACTTTTGATTCTCCAGCAGAGCTTCTTGAGAGCATATAAATGTTAGATATATCTTCCTGACCTTGCTGAACACATTTAATTAAACTGCAGAAAAGAAATTAAAATACATTTAATTTCAAAAGGTTGTCGACAATTAAGTCAAAGCCATGGTTTTTTTTTAATATCTTCCTTGGTTGCACTCACTTTGTTTCTTCCAGCTCCATTTTTATTCAATCCGGGAGGAACTGTGGTCCAGGCAACAAGATAAGAAAATTATAATCCTCCATACCCTGTCATTCTTGCCATGTATGGCAAAGCAGGTTCACTTTTTTCTTGTCACCACATGGCAAATTGTTTGCAATTATTTGAAGGGACATAAGTAATTTGGGACGTTTCTGGTTGGCTTTTATTTGTTGCTCAGTTTTTTCTTGTTTACAGCAAATGTACACAACCCATGAAAAGAATGCAACCTAATAAACAACACTTTGAAACCAAACTTACAGCTTCAAAACTGCGATCTGTCACATGCCTTCAAATCGGGCTGCGTAATCTTGTCGGTGACTTAACAAGCAACTCTCACTCTATCCAATACTTTTTCATGCTATATATATAAAGATATATGTATGTATATATATGAAATCAAGGGCCTCTATGCATTTGCATCAATTAGTGATGTTAAAGATGAGCAGTTCTTCCTCTTTAGCTCCGAGTCCCAAAAGGTATGCTTAGTGTTAACCCCTCTTCATTTGGTGTCTAAATTTCTAACCTTTTTCTTCATCATCTTCTAAATGTTTGAACATCAATTTTGCAGGTTGGAAGGCAAAGTGGCAATAATCACTGGAGGCGCTAGCGGCATTGGAGAGAGCACTGTAAGACTGTTTGTCAAGCATGGTGCCAAAGTTATCATAGCCGATGTCCAAGACGAACTTTCTCTGTCCCTCTGCAAAGAACTCGACCCGGATGAAGAATCCGTTTGCTACATCCGTTGCGATGTCACGGTTGAATCTGATGTGAAAAATGTAGTGGATTTGGCTCTGTCCAAGTATGCCAAGCTTGACATCATGTACAACAATGCCGGCATACCTGGCAACTTGGAGCCAACTATTTTAAGCGCTCGTGCCGAAAACTTCAAACAAGTGTTTGACGTGAATGTGTACGGAGCTTTCTTGGGCGCCAAGCATGCTGCTAGGGCTATGATCCCTGCCAAGAAAGGTGTCATTTTGTTCACTTCAAGCGTGGCGTCCGCGAGCTGCGGTGAGTCTCCACACGCTTACACCATGTCGAAGCACGCGGTGGTGGGACTTATGAAGAGCTTGTGTGTGGAGCTGGGCCAGCATGGGATCAGAGTCAACTGCATTTCTCCATGTGCCATGGCAACTCCATTGCTAACAAATGTTATGGGGATGGAGAGAGATGCGGTGGAGGAGTTGATTTGTGCTGCAGCGGTGTTGAAAGGGGCGGTGCCTAGGGCAGAGGATGTGGCGGAGGCTGCGGTGTACTTGGCAAGTGAGGAGTCCAAGTTTGTAAATGGACTGAACCTTCTTGTGGATGGAGGTTATAGCACCACTAATCAATCTTTTAGTATGGTTTTGAGAAATTTGATGTCCTCAAACCAAGTTTTGTAAGCACCACATGCATTTTGCTTTGCTGCACTATAGTCTTGCTAATGTTGGATCCCTTTTGCCCTTGCTCTTCTAATGGCACATGCCCTAATTAGTTGTAATGATCAGTCAATTGCACTTTGGACTCTTGTGATTTTGAGTGAAATTGCACTTTAATTAGTACCTAATGTTTAAGATGTTATGATATCAAACCTAACATTTTGAAAATTTAATCCTCATCGGCAAGAATTTAGGTCAAGCATTTTTGTCTATGTATGTGGCATGCATATGAACACTATATTACACCATGTGGACAAATAAAACAATAAGCAAAAACTAGGTTGCTTTCAGAAACATTATGAAAAAAATGTAAATAAATCAAAATTAAAGAGAAAAAATGTAACTCCTTGGAGTAGGGATGGGTGTTGCATCATTATTGCGCTTTTTTCTGGGATTGTGGACATGCATGATTTGATTATGTCACGTGATGAATAAAAATGAAAAATGAAAAATATATTATTCTCGCTTGAAATGAGATGCTCAAGCATTTTCCATTAATTAAGAGGGGGAATCCATCCAGGGGTCTCTCCTACAAAACAGAGTCTTAGAAAGGGATGGAGTTTCGAACATGAAACTAATGGTTGGCAAATCAAAGCTCTTTTAGCTAGGCTCCATTAGCACACAGCACAGATTTATTGACAAATTTAGTTTCTCCAGCTTCGAAAGTACAACACTCGGCCAATTTATAAAAAAACATATGGGCCAAACTCTAGGCCCAAATATTTTCCAACTGGGCCGAAACGTCCAGCAGCGAAAACCATTTTAGGGATTTCTCAGATAAATACCCCAAAACCCTAGCGTCCACGTTCCCCCCTCATTTTGTCTTCTCTCACTCCTCACCGGGCGTCTCTCTCCTCCCAAAACCTCCACACACAAGACATACAAATTCACAGAGAGAAAAACCAGCACCATGGGCCGCGTCCGTACAAAGACCGTGAAGAAATCCTCGCGCCAAGTGATTGAGCGATACTATTCGCGCATGACCCTGGACTTCCACACCAACAAGAAGATCCTGGAGGAGGTGGCCATCATCCCCTCCAAGAGGCTCCGCAACAAGATTGCCGGGTTCTCGACCCATTTGATGAAGCGGATCCAGAAGGGCCCGGTTCGCGGCATCTCCTTGAAGCTCCAGGAGGAGGAGCGCGAGCGCCGCATGGACTACGTCCCCGAGAAGTCCGCCATCAAGACTGACGAGATCGAGGTCGACAAGGAGACGATCGACATGCTCTCTGCTCTCGGCATGGGCGATATGCCCGGCCTCAAGCGGGTCGACCCGGCTTCTCTTCAGCCTCAGCAGCTCGGGTTCGGGCGCGGCGGGCCCAGGAGGTACTGAAGAAGGGATTATAATGAGTAAATTTGGGTTTTTGGGAGAGTAGGAAGGAAACATTTGCTAATTTTCTGTTGCTATGCGTTTTTAAGTTTACCATGGATCTCTAATGTGGATTCTCAATCCTTTATTATGGGATTTTGTTAATTTTGGATTTAGAATCGAAAGCATGCATTTTTGTTTCTTTTTGTCAAATGAATCTTTTGGGTTTCTTCTGGATAGCTGCTTGCTTGAGCAATGTTCATGTTCATGTTCATGTTCTTTTGGGTACTGTTGCTTTTTCTAGGGCATGGGTAGGTTTAATTTAAGAATGTGATTAAATTAGAGTTTGGTTTCAAATTCTTTGGAGAATGTGATTATTTATGGCTTTGTTTCTGATATGCCGGAATTCGGAGCCTCCGTGATGTCCATTTTAATTTCATGCGTATTGGGTTTGGAATTTGGAACCCCTATGATGATGCCCAACTGTAGTGAAGACAATGCTGCTGTTCATTTACATCAAATACCAGCTTGAATGTTTTAGAACCATTTGTTAGGCTTGTTACAAACTCCAGCCGAAGAAAGAAAAACCTCATTATGTCGTTAGAGTCCCGGAATGGACTATGATTTTGTTGCACCCGTTTACCTCGCGTACAAGTTAGCCACTTCCATCTGGGATGATTGTAGCGTGCAAGCTTGCCCCGCACTGTAATCAAGGCTACCTTCGCTTATCAGTATGTGGTGTAGCATCCTTATCAAGAGATGTTTTATTGGCTAAAACTTAGATACAGGAATTCTGCGTCAACATTCCTACTTGGCATAAGAGATGGGATTGGGTTTGTTTTGGCACATGTTCTAAAAGCAGAGGTGAAGCAATTCTTTTGGAATAATGTGTAATGTTCCCGCGTAAATGCCCCATTGCAAAAGGCTCTGCTTTTCACTATGGGAGCTTTGTATGCCGCTCACAATGCGGCATGTGGAATTTAAAGATTGTGCTAAAAGATAGAGCTTGTTTGATGCTCAAAAAGCAACAAGAAATTGCGAACCACCAAAATTCTTTTTACTTAGGGCATCTCCACCCACAAGGGCTAAGTCTAAGGCAAAGGCAAGCAAGGGCTGCAACTATTCACGTGAATAGTGTCAGCCTTTGCATTTGTGGTTCCACCCATGAGGACAAAGTCTAAGGCAAGTCAAGGGCAAGAAAAAAAAAATATATGCAACAAAATATAAAATTGTTATGTATTTATAGGGAAAGTGAATAAAATTGTTATGTATTTATAGGGAAAGTGAATAAAATTGTTATGTATTTATAGGGAAAGTGAATAAAATTTTTTCAATTTTTTTTAGCCAAAAATTGAACAACCGTTGGATTGTGCAAGATTTTTTGATCGGAGGCTCCAGAAGAAGCCACATGGCTTGTAATCATTGGGTAATGTGGGCTAGTGGGTCCAACAGTAAAAAAAAATTGAAAATCAGCTGTTGACGTCAGCAGCCCTAGTTTTGGTGCCCAGGCAAGATTAGCCTGTGGGCTTGCCCAGGCTGGTGGGACCCACCATTTGCCCGAGCTCAGTGCTGTGCGCTGGAGCTGAAAATGGGCTGCCAAGGGGGCCTTTTGCCCAAGTTTAGTGCAGCGGTGGACATGCTCTAAGTCTAAGGCAAGGGCAAGCAAGGGCTGCAACTATTCACGTGAATAGTGTCAGCCTTTGCATTTGTGGTTCCACCTATGAGGGCAAAGTCTAAGGCAAGTCAAGGGCAAGAAAAATATATATATATGCAACAAAATATAAAATTGTTATGTATTTATAGGGAAAGTGAATAAAATTGTTATGTATTTACAGGGAAAACATCCATAATTTTTTGGTATTTTTTTTTTAAAAAAAAATTGAATTTTTTATAATTTTGTTGAATTTTTTTTTGCTCGCTGACGTCAGCATAACACCAGCGCTGACGTCAGCGCCCTCGGGCTGAAGCCCAGGCGAAAGTTGCCCTTGGGCCTGCCCGGGCTGGTGGGACCCAGCCATTGCCCGAGCTCTTTTCTGCGCGTTGGAGGGGAGTTGGGCTGCCAAGGGGGGCCTTTTGCCCAAGTTTGGGTGAGCGCCGGAGATGCTCTTATAAGCTAGGCAGGCTACACGAGCATCATAAATTGTGGCGCTTCCATTAGTAAAATTATCTGTTCACAAAATTTTCAGAGGCATGGCATGCATATCTGTAACCTAATTGCAAGCACACAGTGTTAACTCACACCAGCCACATCTTATGATTATAAAAGTAGTAGAAGGAAAAACCATGCTTTGTAAAGCAGATAACAAAAGAGCCGCCAATATTACACGATGAACTTAAATATACAGTGTTCGGATCCAAAAATAGAAAATAAAAGGTAAATACAGAGTACAGAGTGAGAATGCTGTCCAGAAATTTGCGGCAGCATAAACCACACCAGAAACATGATGCCTCTTTAAACTAGAAGAAATAGTTTCAGAGGTGCAAACTGCAGCAAGCATGTAATTCCGGGAAACTACAGCAAGTTACTCACTTGCATTTGCGAGACCAACCATGTTGAGCATATGACGGTCCTCCTTAAATCTCTCCAATACAGTACCTTTTCCGCCGTCATGTTTTTCTTCGTCTGCTACTTTAGTAACCACTCCCCAGCATTCTATCACTTCTGGGTATATTCGGTTGGTCTTGGAGAGGCAAGGGGAACCAAATGTGGTACAGGAGAAAGTGTGCCCCTGATCTAAGGTGGCCGAAAGGAAAAGGCCAAAGTGATTCACTTTTCCTCCAAAACCGATACCATTTGGGATGCTTGCTGAACTGAAATTCACAGCACACTGCCAGTACACAAAATAACAAGTTCTTTATAAAATAATAAAGCAATTCATGGTTCATAGAAACTAACTGATTTACAAAGCTGAACTTCTGTTACAATGTGATGCAGTTCAGTTCATGACTCTAAAACTTAGAGGCAACTAAGAAACCAAAGGCATTCCTCATCCAAATGGATAAACATAATGAAGAGAAAGATATGGTGTTTTCTCTATTTCAGAGCAATATAACTTATACGATCAAGTAGCAACTCACCCACTGTAGATTAGTGTTTGCTCCAGTAGGCCTGAATATAGATGCCGTGGGATACAATTGGAAAAGAAATGACTTCAAATCTCCATAGAAATCACCATGCCTCTCCCATGGCAGCGAAGCATAACCTCCATATACATAACCTTCTTTGTCCTTGATAATGAGTACAGTCGGCCCCTTATCCTTTCTGCAGTTCATTGAACAATTACTCATTCCAGCCCAAATTAGTTGCAGCAACCCACAAGACTGAAATTAAAATAGGAAAAGCTTTTAGCACTCTATCTTAATATGGGAAAAAGGCCAAGTATAAGCATTTAACAGAGCATTGTCATGGTCCTTATACATGATTTGAGAAGTGAACACAGGCTTTAGAGTCCCCTCCAATTCACATTCTACAAATTCTAAACCAGAAAAGGTTATATTATTTAGGACTTTTGTTCATGTACTATCCAAGAAGGCACCAATTACCTCTCCCCCCTAAACTCTAAAAGTATACCTACAACTGCCAATGCTACCACAGTGGTTGTGGCCCTCATCCTTCCCCACTGCTTGGCACCCATCCATGTTCATGCCAATGCGGGGTTTCTTTTCCCCCAATGTAACCCCAAAAAAATGTATACCTACAACTCTAATGCCTATCTTCACTCTCAGAACAGTGATAACATCACAACACTGCTAGGACATATTCAACTCAACAGACATAAGAATATAATTTGATTAAGTGATTCAAAAAAGAAATAAAAGTATTAAGAGTATAAGAAAGATACTCACGATACGTTGCCCAAAAATGTGCTAAAGCTCAGACCATTTACAGAACTATGGTATAAAAGTTTCCATTCCTCCAGATCATGCTGCGGAAGGATTCCTCCTATATGCCAAGCATACATCTTCTTTAATAGAATCATATTAGGATCAATGTTTTCCAAATGCAATAATCGAGGAACCTGAGAACCTGGTCTTCCTACAAGGAAAGGTAATTTCAAAAATTATGGAAGGGCAAAACAAACTTCAGATTCTCCCAAACTATTTGGGAAACCACTTTAGAATGCAAAACCAACAATTAAAACAAATGGTAAGCTAGAGGATACAAATGAAAGAATTTGAGCAGAACACCTTGATTAGGCGGTATCAATAAGCTTCCAAGGAACTTCCTGACAGATGGGAGAAGAGTACACCAAGTTCTGAAATCTTCATAAGACAAACTTTCTTCGGCATGTCTTTCGTCATGCTTAGCGAACTTTGCAGCATTAAGAAATATATTCAGAGTGTCGTGATGTGCACTTGATCCATGTTCGGAGTTGTCCATATTGAAGATGTTGTCAAACATTGCAACCAGAACACATTCCAGATCAGACCTGAATTTAAATTCCTAATATCATATACATAAAAGGAACAGAAAGATGGGTATTTTCATGATGCGTTTATAACTAGCAATCACCAAATTCTTCCATCCTTTCAGCAGCCACAGTAACAAGTAAAACCAAGTCATGCAATATATATCTCATGTTATCTGTTATTTCTAAGAACTTCAGATCATTGCAATGGCTACTTGCATGTTTCTGTTCAACAAACTGGAACAAATATGATACTTCAAAACTCACTAAAACTCAACAACATCAACTAAACTACTTGACACGCAACAATTGATTATGTAAAATAAGACAGGATAAGATCAAATCAAATACTTCTAAAAATTGCAATCAAAACATAAAACCAACTGCCTTAGAGTATAAAACTATATCCTATCATTCTCGCTACGCTATCGTAAGTGAAAGGTCGAATTCTACCTTCCCACAATGCCATTCCCGGATACGTCTAATAACTGATATATGAATTCTTCAATCTCATCTTTTGTTCCCTTCTCATAAATCCCCTGCAACACACACAAGGAAGCAAAAAGAGCAAGTGGGCAGATGAAAAAACTAAACAATACCAGATAAATACAGCAAATTCACAAGTTTTTTCTTTCAAGTAAATTACTTTGGCAATAACGAGGTCTTCGAAGGTGAGTTTTTGGTCTTTGCGTTGCTGGGTAACTAAGTCGAACATTCTATCTCCAAGAGGACCATGAAGTCCAAAATAATTCTGTGAAGGCATAAAGCTACGTCTAATTAGAGAGGAAATATCATATCACAACATAATAATTGAAATTCAAGGAAATTGAGAGAGCAGCAGAGAGCAGCAGTGAAGCAAAATGACCTTAAAAACTGAGGGAGAGACGTGTGGACCGTTGCTCTGAGATTGAGCAGCCAGGGACGCGTGCAGGGACTTGAGAACTTCGAGTTCCGTATGAGAAAAAGCTCTGCAATCATTTCAAAATCAATCAATTCCCTGTCTTTGTTTGCCAAAGTGTGTGTATACGATTACAGAGAGAGAAACCTGGAGGAGGAAGCAAAGCGAGGATCTTTGTGAGATGAAGGTGACTGAGAGTTGCCCATTTTTCTGTTTTCCTTCTTCACTCTGCACTCTGCAATACGAAAAATCAAGATTGACATTTATACTTTTTCATGGAAAATTTCCAATTAGGTGCTTGTACTTCGCGCTATTTTATAATTCACCTAATTCTTTTTACTAATTGCATATGTTATAGGAAGTTTGGGATTGGGAAAAAACGAAATCAACTTTTTCTTTTCGTTGTTTAATTTATTTTTTATTATACGGGAGGGAGATTCAAACTTTTAAGACATCGTCTAACTCTTCAAACTCACAATTTAGATTTTTCTAACTTATATAGTTTTTGAGTGATTACACGTATTCAAAATTTATACTACACTTGATAAGAAAGTGGATATTCATTCCACAACTTAGACTTTCTCAACTTATGTGATTTGTGAATGATTACATACTTAAAATTTATGTTTGCTAATGATTATATGTAATAATCGTGTGTCCAATACGTGCATTGTAATGTTTATATGATCACTAATTTTTTTCAATTTTTTAAGTCACATTCCCTTTAAAATAATAATAATTTTAACTAGAGACGACTTTCAAAACCATTTTGTATAGCTAGTGTGGATCAATCAAATAGAGAATATTAAAAAAAAAAATTAATAGATATGTTTAGAGAACTAAAATATGGATAAAGAATAATAAATAAAGTCATGGGGTTGGGGTGTTAATTGTGAGAATCAAAGCTCTGTGGTGCTAAAGATGAAATCTTTACAAACTTCAAGGAGCGAATTGCAGAAATGAAGATGCTAAAGTTAAACACAACTGAAGTGGAAAACAACTTTACTAGAAAATTAGCAGAAATATAATTCAGAACTGAAGTTTTAGAGAACAACGCCTTATACTCAGAGGCCCAACCAAAAAGATCGAAACTTTATTAGAGCAAAAGCCTTGTGTGTTTCTCTTCAAGACGTGAACAGTTCAACAACAACTGAGATATGCCCTTCTTCTTCAGCTCAGATCTGTAAGTTCCATGCTTTTTTGCCTTAACCTCATTTGCCTCTTTCTCTTCAATATATTTTGCTCTTCTACTGATATCCTTTAGTATTTATTAGTAGTGTCTTAGATTTGGGGTCGTGTTTGGTTGGTGAGAAAATGTAGGAAACAGAAAATTAACCAGAAAGTTACTCTTTTTAGTGTGTGTTTCTTGAATTCCATTTTAGCACTTTTTTTGTTCTTCAAAATTTTAATATTTGAAAATTTTCCGCTCTTTTTCTTTCTGGGTTGTATTCTCGGCAACTGAAAAGAGCAGAACTTGCTGAAGCATTGAGATGATCAGGAAAGGAAGGCTTTTAATGTTTTATTTTTTTAGTTTTCATGCTCCCGTGGAAGAAAGAACCCCTTTTTGAATGATCCCTATTGAAAAGAGAAATTGAAATCTTTAACTACTGATTGTAGTCACTTAATTGTAGAAGATAATTAATACTTGTAAAAGGATAACTAAAGATTAAGTTTGTTGCTAATGTTTTTAGGATAAAACCGAACTACAGAATAAGAACATACCTTCTTCTTCTTTTAAAAAAAAAAAAAGTAAAATAAAATGAGAACATAATGGTGTAGTTTCTTTTGGCAAACCTGATAACTTAGCCTTTGTTAGACACAAATTAATTGCTTATTCATGATTGTAAATTGTGAGTTGCCTCTCTTTTCCTTTTGGCATTTTTAGCTTAATATCGATATGCTAATCTGTTAAATGTATAACAGATTCAGTGAGTGCTGCTTGTGACAATGTCAAGACCATGGGTACTGGTTTGTCTGCTCCTGTTAATTGTGTTTACATCACAGTTTGAATGGAAGCAATATGGGAATGATGAACCAAGTCCAAGCACTTCCAAGAAACATCAATATATATCTGAAAGGGAAGAAGCTGTGAAAGAAAAAGTGAGTGCTTATATATGACTTCTTTTCTCTGCCTAGCATAACCCTATTGTGTGGTTGTTTTTGAATTGGAAATCTATGGTTCTTTACGTTTACAAGTTTTAGTTTGAAAGAAATCTACTTATATTTTTCAAATATTTAGGGTTGTTAACTTCGGGCAATGTAAGAAATTTCAGTAATCAATAGGCTATTCTGGTATTTGAATTTGGAACTTTGTGCCATATGAAACCCATGGGATTGAGACATTGGTTGTCAACATACCTGAGTTTTGGACACTTAGAGAGTATTGTTGTTGTCAAAACGAAAGATCTGTGGGATTGCCCTGTTTACATCATGATACCCTTGCTTTGATTATTTTCCAGAGAAAGTAAACTTTCAAAGGCAATACATGAATTATCTGGATAGGAATCCTTTATTTGATTCTCTGTGACCCATAATAATGCGGTTTTCTGCAGTGTTTGCCCATTCCTCTAAACGACTGGTCTTTGATTTCTCAGGTTGGGCTTTAGAATTGTTTAGAGAAGGAAAGATGCAGAACTATCTTGAATTGTGCTTCTTAATTTAATAGTTCTCATCTTTGTTTGACCTAGTTTCCTTCTATTGAGAATGCTTCTCCATTTCCACAACTTTGTCTAGGTTCACATCTCACCAATTGAGAGATAGAGAGGGAGGGAGGGACACCCAATGAGAGAGAACACTAAAATGTTTTGTTTTCCATTTTCATGGAATATAGTTTCAAACACCAAAGACAATAGGAAGAACTTTGTGAGTATTCACTCAGTTGTAAACTAAGGGTGCTAAAGGCAGCATAGTGAATGCATCTGCGTGACCCAACATGACTTATTGCATTAGGCCCTTTGTGAATCTTGTTAAGTACTTCGAAGGCAAGTTTCAAATGGGACATTCTTAGTTTTTCTTGGTGTACACAATTTACTACTTATGAGTTATGACATCTCAATTTCCCACAATTCAAGTGTCTCTAGTTTCCTTCTAGGGCTTCTGGTACCGAAACATCACCTTGTACTCCTTTCTGTCTCTTGCCATGTATTCTCAGAACCCCATCTACTGTATTTATTGACCCCTATTACCAATCAGTCAGAAGAAAACAAATTCCACAAAATTCTAATTGCCAGGTTTACTTTGTCTTCTGGCATTATTCCCTTATTCTTTTTTTCTCTCTCTGTGAGTATGTATTTAGGATATAGTTTTTATAATGGCTTCATCTTCTAAAGAGTTAACACCTATTTACTACATCTTCACTCTCCAATTTGGCAACTTTAACCAGAATTTTAGGATCAAGTTTATATATGATAGAGAAAGTCCTTAATTAATTGTAGTGCCCCTCAGCTTGATCCCTTTCTCCATATGCTTTCACTCTAATGCGCAAAGCATGTATGTGTGTGCTTGTAAACCCCATGTACTATTTAGATATGTAATTAACCTGGCGTGGATGAATGAAATAGCAACAAGTGTATTGTTTTAATTCAGTTTCTTCTAATTGAAAGAGCAGCAATTTTGCAACTTAAGTACCTGCGGCCTAATTCCATAATTTTTGGTAGACTACAACTTAAACCTGGTAGATATGTTCATTAACCTCATTGACTGTCAACTTTACTGCAGATTATCCTCTCTCAAGAGAAAAATATACAGAAACTTAGCGAGCTTGTGCGGAGTCTTCGGGAACAATTGCTACAATGTAGAGGTGAAAATGAGATTGTCAATGGCACTGGAGCCCCTTTGACTGAACTTCTTTCTGAGCTTGAAAGGCATCCACTTTTGGAGGATTAGTCACAGATCATACGTGTTAAACATCAGTATGTTTGTATTTGTAAGTATAGAATCCAAATTCTTTCTTATTGCTTAGCCTAATGTGAAACTACACCCGCTTAGAAGGTGAATTGCAAAGTGCAGTATCAAAACTGTTTTCTTTTGCCAGTATGTTATGAATATATAAGGTTCATATGTTTTACCTTTTTGCCTTTCCCGTCAGTATACGTCTTCTGCCGCAGTCGCTGGTAGTAAACTGATTTGGTGTGTGATGTCTTGGTAAAATGGTGAATCAATAGTAGGGTGGTGTTAGAATCTTGGTGATATTGCTTAGTGTATGTTATGGTGGTCATAAGTGAAAACCAAGCTTGATTTTTTGGAGTAAAATAACCAATAAATGCAGAGAATATGTATTCGAAAAGCATCATGTTATTACTTAACACCTATAACTTCAACATCCTAACATCAAATAGAGGGAATCTCAGTTTACAAGTAATTTCAACTTGCATCAAGTGGAGAGAATCTCAAGTTGCAAGTAATTTCAATGTCACACAGAGAGTTTCCTATATGCTGATTGTGGGGATTGTTTATTATCATAGTGAACCTTTACATCCTAACATCAGACGGAGGGAATCTCAGTTTACAAGTAATTTCAACTTGCATCAAATGGAGAGAATGTCACACAGAGAGTTTCCTATATGCTGAATGTGGGGATTGTTTATTATCATAATAAACCCTTTCAATAGTTGTGCCGAGTGTCATTAACACTCTTTATTAGCTTTACCCTTTTATATTCTCATCAAAGTTTCCTTCTCAGTATCAAACTTTTGCTAAAAAGAAAAAGTACAAATGGGAAGTGTGAAGTTGACCGAGGAAAATTCCTTGCAGCCCTCATCTCAAGTTTATTGTTTGATGTCCTTCAAATTTTTCATGAAGCAACCTTGTTGAGGTTCATGTTAGGATTTAGTATTTGGATGAACAGACATGGTTGCGTAACGACTCCGGAACCTGATGAGTGTAGGCACACGATCGTTTTAGAATCCTAAGCTTCTAAGAGGGAAATGTGGGACATCATTCAAGCAAATCCTAGTATTGTAAAAGAACTTGAAGAGGCAAACAATTAGGCAGATTGATAACTTTTTTTTCTCTCTTTTTTCTTTCAAAATTTAAGAGATGGAAGAGGGGGTTAAGATTTGAACTTTTGGGGGCCAGATCATAAAACATAAGCTAAGAACTATGAAGTAACTTCAAAGCTTTTTGGTGTTATTTAGTACAAAGGGAAAAAGACTCAAAAAAAGAGATGCAATCCACAGACAATAATTGTTAAAAGAGACAAAAGTTCCTGTAGAATTTTGTTTCTCTTGCCCAATTCTCTATCAGTAACTAAACAGGTACAGATAATAATTGTGATATGAAGTTTACAATGTCTGACACTTCAAATTATGGTTCTGTGAAGAGGCATTAAAATGTGACAGCGTTTTAACTTTCTATTACTTTTTCTGGAAACACCATGATAATGGTGCTTGCGAATTTCCTCTCTTACCTACTTCTTCTTTCTATCTCCTTCACATATCTATGATCATACTTACTGTGTTCTTGTTCATTGTTACAGTTGTAGTTTGTTGTACCTACGAAGATTCAAGGATGATGATTTAATTCCCTCTCTGTCTCTCGATTTAATTCGTCAACTTGTCTTCTTTACTAGTTGTACCATGAAAATGGTCCCAATTTCTCACTAGTTGGTGATAAAACTTTAGCATGAGGCCCTTATCTGCTGCTGATTCAATTTTTGTAGTTTGTGCATTTGGTAGGAGGGTAGGTCATTTATAAATCAACTTTGTCTGGACACATTCCAGCTGTTCGCCGAAGTGTATAATACATAGTTGCTTGATGCAATGTGGACAGTTACTGTGGTAGGATTGTGAAGTGAGATCATGCTATTAACACCCTAACTTCCAAACTTAGCCTGATTGTTGAAGTTAGGACAGGCAAGTTTTATATGGCAGTTTATTGCACATTCAACCTCTGGCAAAGCAGTAAATAAACCGAGTCAAGTACCATTAGGGTTTAAAAAACTGACTGTAATATGAAAGCTAACCATATCAGAAGGCAGAACCTACATTCATAGTTCGGGACCTTACAAATCAATATGAATCTTTAGATTTCTGGGCAAGTGGGAGTTAATAACTTCCTCAAAATAGACAAAAAAGACTCGTTTTAGGCAAAAAAAAAGATAGTTAATACCATCTGTCACATGCAGAATTAAGAGCACACCAGTAAGGTCTATTCTGTTGAAGCTTTAACATCTCATAAAACTTCATTCAAGCTTTAAAAGCTATCAAAGTTTCATAAGCATTTCCTTAATGTTAGATCAAATGAGATAGACAGATAAGTAATCAAGAGCTTTTAGAGTGATCTCTCATATGCTTAATTAAATTGAAATCAAGTTTTCAAAATCCTTAAGTTTTCTAGAGATGCTGTTGGCGTTGTTGCACAGGGAGCATAAGGTGAAGGCTTTACTTGTTTCCTTTCTGCAAAGTTTTGATGACAATAGTGAAACTGATTACAAAAGAATTCATTTCAAATTGTTTGGAAGTGATTTGTATTGCCTTTCAAATATAAGTTAGAAAAGCTGTTCAAAAATAAACGTCACAATTTCTAAATAAACTAATGTTTGGAATTTGGGATTCCGAACCTTCGCATTTAGAATTTACGTATTTTCCCGCATTTCACTTAATCTTAGTTGCTTGGAGGTGTTGCATAAGGAGCATAAGGTGAAGGCTCTACTGGTTTTCTTTCTGCTAAGTTTTGATGACAGTAGTGAAACTAGTTGCAAAGAATTCATTTCAAATCATACTTTTTTGTATATTTTGGAATCATTTTCATTGCATTTCAAAGATAATTGAGAAAAGCTATGAAAAATAAAATCTAGATAAACTAATCTTTGGACCTGGGAATCAATCTAGTCCTGCAAATTCAGTAAAGTTAATAGGCATTGCAAATATAGATCAATCATATCCTGGTAGATTTCCTTTCGTAGCTAGTAGAGGATACTCAACCTCCTTGATCCTGAAAATGGTTCAATCAGGGCTAACTATAAACTAATATCACCCACATAAATAATTTTCTTTGAATTTGATCTGATATCAAAGTTCATAGGCAGGGTTGTTTTCATATTTATGTCTTTGCACAAATCATCTATATATGGGAACCTCAACCACCCAATGAATGAGCCTCCAAAACATTTTTATTCAATAATCCCACAAAAATAGGGAGAGAAAACAACAATACATGTGTAATTCCAAACCATAAAAACCCCAATCAAAATCAAATGCAGTTCTCAGGAAAAGTTGCCAATGTTGGTTTGCCATTCATTGGCTTAATGTATGGTTGGAAGAAGAAGACGAATTAATCTTGGCAGCTAATTTGTAGCCTTCGATCTTTATCACACTAATGTATGGTTGGAAGAGGTACATTAATGGCTCCTCTAATTTTTCATTCCATGTGCTGCTTAATTTAAAGAGAACCAAAAGAAATAACCCGTCAGTGTAGTGGTTTGGAACAAATGTCCTCAAGAAAGGTCTTGGGTTTTGCTATCGCTTATCAATAAGAAACGTGCTAAAAACAAATAAAGATAACCAAATAAGAGGGACATTTCAATTCAAGCCTAAGCAACTGACCAGCTTTATGATTAACCACATATTCTACATTAGGAAGCACTGAGGCACCAACCACGAATGAAAAATAATTAAGACCAATTTATTGATCCAACCCTACCCACCTGCTGGTTAGGTCTACAACCTTTAAACATTAAAATTAAACAGATAAATGAACCCCTCGGGAGGCAATAATGTAGCGGTTTGGAAGGACGAGCTCGGACCAATTGTAAATCCAGAAGTTAGATGTTCGATTCCTATCGTTGTTGCGCAAATTTCTGATTTATCAACACGCACATTGTGTATCATTCATTGCACACATATTAATCATGATTAATTTGTTTTATATGAATAAATAATTTTATACATGTCAACCATAAATAATAATAATAATAATAATGTAACAGTGCTGAACAAAACCTTTATACTTTCTTCCCTTTTCTTTTGTGCTATAATTCACTGGGGCTATAGGCTATGAGTCCATTAATGGTCTAGTGGGTTAAGAATTCACAGAGGGAAGGCCCATGAGGCATTTCCTCTTTCTTCTTTTTTTTTTCCATTTTCTTTACCAAAAAAGGAAATTGCCCCCCATTCATTCGTACCCAAATACCCCTGGTTTGAATATTTACACTAATTCTAAAAACTGGGTTTGCCTTGGAAATTTTATTGTAGCTAGATTGCCGTTGAATTTGTTGGAACTTTTTTTGTGTTCAAAGAGAACTTCTTTTCCATTGTATACACACCTAAGAGCACTTCTAGCGGAAGGCTGTGGCCCGGGCAAGAGGGGGCCCAAGCCCTAGGCAGAGGTTCCAGTGCGCAAATGCAACCCAAGCAGCTAAGTGGGCTCCACAAGCTTAGGCAGGCCTGAAGGCAAGAACAGCCTGAGCTGTTGCCTGAGTTGGATGACGTCAGCAACGAAAAAAATACTAAAAATTACATAATTAAAAAAAAAAATACTTAGTCATATTCTTCACTTCCCACACCAAAATTATATACAAATTCCTCTCCTCATATCTCATGTGAATAGTGGCTGCCCTTGAGTTGCCATGGCAATGGGTGAAAACACCACAAGCCTATTGCAATGGTTGGCACTACTCATGTGAATAGTAACAACCATTGCCTTTTGCCATGGCCAAGAGGTGGAAGTGCTCTAACAAAGTCAGAGTCAACTAGCTAAAGTGGTTAAGAGCAGTTACCTCTACAACTGAGATTTTGTGTTCGAATTCCCACTTTAACAATATCGCTTATATTAAAATAAATAAATAAAACTAATAAAACAAGAAAAATGTAGCACAACTATCCAATTTATTCTTTACCCCAAAAAAAAGAAGAGAAAATATACTTAACCCACACGTGGATGTGCAAAATCTCATGTGACATGAATAATTATGGGAAGCATAGCAAATCTTTATCAACCGTACAAAATGGGTCTCATATGAATCCATCTTTATGATAGATAAGATTAGTGAACTGTGATTGCCAAATCTAAAAGCATAAATATTGAAAA